TGTTATTGTAAATCTGGAATCCTTTAAGAGTTGAAAAAACTATGCTCATATTTTGCAGTTCACTCAAATTGAACGTCTTACCTAATCAACTTTTACAACGACATAACTATCTATGAAAAATATTTTACGAACCTTTTGTAATATCCAGTCAATCAAAGGAAACCGTATACCTCTGTAATATTCCTTGGGTCATTCCACAATTGCCTTCACCTTTTAAGGATCTACTTAAATTTCTTGACCACTGATAATGTGCCTCAAAAATACAATACTTCGCAACGAAAATTCACATTTTGAAAATTTTGCATATATTTATTTTGCCTCAGCGGCTCTAAAAGATTCTTCAGATGCTTGGCATGAACTTCATTAGTTTTTGAATAAATCAAATTATTATTAATTAAAAATATAAACTAATCTACATACAACTTGAAGATTCTATTCATCAGGTCTAGGAAAATTATAGGAGTATTGGTTAAGCCAAAAGACAACTAAGAATTCATAATGACCTACATGATCCCAAATGTTGACTTAGTTATATTTGTCTGACTCTGACCTGATGATATCACGATCCAAGATCAATTCGGGAAGATACACGAGCATCTTCTAATTGATCAAATAGATCATTGATCCTACGTAAACAATATTTTTTCTTGATTGTCACATTGTCGAACTCTGTAATCCATCCTTCTTGACGAACAATACGGGAGCACTCCACGGTGAATTACTTGGCCTAATAAAACCCTCATCTATCAGTTCTTACAACCGACATTTTGATTCATGTAATTCCTTACAGGAGGTGTATAGACTTTTTTGGTGTGTATCTAATTTATTTTGGATTCAACAGCTTTGTATAGTTTATATGTTTTGAGGTTGTGATTTTTTCACGTTTTCGAGTGAATATAAATGAATTATGAAATATAATGTATCACATATGTTGTGGTAATTTAGTTAATACTAGTTTTTCACCCACTCTGCAGGTGAGGACAAGTGTTGGTGAGAATTTAGTCTTACCTCAACTGACACTTAAAAGGGGGGTCGGTTTGGCAAATGACATTAGATAAGCTAATATAAAACTCAACAAATTGTTGATGAATTGGATTGATGATTAGCTTCAATAAATAATATGAATTATGTTACTAATCACATGGAACTCAAGCACAATTGTTGCATCGACTACATTATACATGTAATTAGAAAAGAAATGCTTCGCTTTTTCATTCTTTAATTGAAAATCCTTTCTTCGAGTAAATACTTATCGGTTGTTGTTGAATTTGTATGTGATATGATATCCAATTCTATGCAACCAAATTTCTCTTTTTGGATTCTCCTTGCACATACATTTTTAGGTAACGATCTACTAGTTGATTTTTTTAGACATTTGTCTTTATACACGTGGGAAGAGCTTAAGAAATGGAAATTTGTGCGATCTGCCATATTATACATTTTGCTATGTGTGTTGTTCCATCTTGGCTTAAATTTTTTGGGATTGATCAAGTGGGTTACTTTTTTGGGTTGTTGCACTTAGAAAGAACGTAATAGATGGAACCTGCACTATAAATTCTTGTAATATTTGCAATGTATTATTTCTCTCAGTTTGGCTTTTTTGGAATTTTATGATTTATATATATTTCTCTAGGTTTCTTCATATGATGGAGAGGTAACGAAAAATATGATTTTTTTTTCTTTTGTACTACTGATTTAGCTGTTAGGAAGTGCTGCAATGCACTTCCAATGTACAAGGTCTTTTAATTAGAGCATTTTTACGTAATAACAATTAGTGGGGATGAATTCATATGAGATGTCAATATATAGTGATTTAGATAGTAAAAGTTGTAATTTAAACGTCATCATCATCACAAGTATTCAGGGATGGCTTCATTCTCCGTCTATTTTTATTGAGTGTGTAGGAGGTGTTAAAACATATTTAAACTAATTTTTTTAAAATAAATTCTATCCTACTTACCTTTTGACCCATCTCTCTTCCTTCATAATCCTTATCTATCTTATGAATTGTGACTGCATTTTCTACTTTTTTGTATATATTCAAATTTATTAAATCATTTTCTGCAATCTTATCTTCAATTTATATCACTCCCAACATTTCTCTAATACAGGTTTCATTTGGGGTGGGTCATGCGAAGCTATTTTCTCAACTATTTCAATTATGCTTTTCCAAAAGTTGCTTTTCTAAAACAATTTTGGAAACTAACGGTGAAAAAAATGACATCCAAGCATGCATCTCCCACAAAATTAGTTAGAAAAACTACCCCAAACATTTGTCAATTTATTCTTTTGAGTTTTGTCACACATTTATTAGACCACCTCATTTTTGCCATACTTAATTTGGCAATTAGAACTTTTTGTACTTCTGAACACTCAAATTTATATAGCATATGAGACCTAATTGTTGTTTTATAAATTTACCTGAGTTTTATGATATTGTCAAGATCATAACACTTATAAAGTGTTTTTTGATTTTAACCATCCATCTTTGACTCTAAAGGTCTATATGTTCAATCTTCCACATAAGAAATTTTAGATACATAAACTTATTATACCTAAGCATTAATTTATCTTCTATTAGTATTGATTGATAATTGTTCAGATCATTACTAGTAAACTTGAATAGCATGTATTTAGATACCAATCCTAAGATCTTTATGTTTTGAACTCTTTCTTTGATGCTCAACTTTCCAATTCTTCCAATTGATATCTCATTGATTATGAACAAGAAATCTTACTTTGAATATCCTTGATAAGCACTTCCATAATTATTACAATAACAAAGTTAGTGTTGAGCATTCATTTAATTTTGCTGTAACAAAAAATTCTTGGTCACTCCATGATTATTTCTAATACCATTTAATGATTTATCATAAATATTCTTAATAAGTTAAATAGATATTTGAACCACTTTTTTCTTCCTTAATATGTAACAATCAATTCTTATGTTACTCAATCATTACCCTTTTTGAGATCAATAAAAATCATACTTAGATTCTTTGTACTATGTTTGTTGTATTGATTATTTTTAACACAACTCACTCTCATAGTGGATTTTCTTTGCATGTAAACTAAGTTGATTCTTTAATATTGACATTATTTTTTAGGTCTATGCTCCATTTCTCTCTCTTGAACTTCATTATATAACTTAATTAAGTATAATTTTATGATTACTATAATTTAAAAAAATCTCATTCATTTGTAATTTTTCTAACATGACTAATTTTCTTTAGCATCATCTTTAGCTTTCACAATTCTATTAAAAAATTTGTTAACAAAATCAATAGAATCTTTCATACCTCTCCAAATTTTATTTGATGTTTTCTTTAAACTATTGTTTTTTTCCTTATACTTTTTTAGAGCTAACTCAAACTTTTTGTTTTATTTGATGTTTTGTTTTAACTATAGTTTTTTTTTCCTTAAACCTTTTTAAGCTAACTCAAACTTTTTGTGTCATTCCATTCTAAGACATCTCAAAAGTTTATAAATTATGATTTTTAAAATGGTTTTTGTTTTAAAATTCTCATTTAATAATTTCTAAAAGTAGTATTCCTTCTTTTTTATTATCATTATCTTTTAATAAGATCTTATTATATTTGCTTGTAGTGTATCTTGATCTATGGTATCTTTTTGCTATTTAATGCTTTCTTCTTCTTAATACCTAGCTTGTTATACAAATCGAAACTATGACTATCCTTTTTACTAGTTTTTGTTTTTTCTTATAATTATTATAATGTTTACTAATTATCACTATTATACTATTCTCTTGCTATTTAATTTTTTTTTTATTTTCTTTATACCCTGCTCATTATACAAATCATTGGAAACATCACTATTCTTCTCCTAGCTTTTGTTTTTTTATTTCAAAACATTTTTGTGTCCATTGAGGTTTCTTGTGCCTCATCACTTATGATGTGTTTGTTTCGGTTGTGATTGTATGAAATCTCAGTTTTAAAGTTATAGAAAATCTGCTGTTTAAAAGCTAGTGTTTCAAAAGTTGTTCTATTTGAAAAAATTCAGTTTTGAAAGTGTTATGTAGTTAGTGGCACAATGATACCTATACGAGTGTTGGTGCGTTATTAGAAAGCAATGCAGGGTGTGGGAGCGCTGCACCATATGGGTGCGCTGGCACGTCGGCACAGGTGCGCTCATATTGGCACGCCACATCCAAAAGTGAGATGCGGACGTGGATGCGAGATGCGGATTTGTCGACATGGTTGTGATATTACGTAAATTTGTGTCGTGGTTTTAACCTCCGGCTCCGATCGAACGAATCAGAAATCCAGCTGAAAAAAGCTGAAACAAATGCCCACTTAATCATAAAGTCTTCTTGCTAAAATATGATCTATTTGAGAATCTTCTAAACCTATTAAGATGATCTCATCAATTAAATTAAGTGTTCTTATCTCGCATTCAATTTAGCTCAACTAAAGAATTTGAATTTAACTCCCTTAACAACCTATGATTAAGTCTTAACCTCTTGTGAGTTCCACCACGTGGTCCTATTCTTACATTTACTTTTTTTTTTTTAGATGTGCATTTTTTTTAACTAACATACCAATATGTGTTATGCATTTGAGAAAAAAGTACCCAATCATTAGGCAAAGTGGACTGCACATTAGAGCTATACATTTTTAACTTTCCTTTTCAGCCTTGGGAGTAATTATTGTTTGCTGAAACACATGTTCTTTTTTATGATACATGTCTTATTTTGTGCTACAATTTTTGTCTGGGTCAATTTTGTCTATTCTGTCCTCTTATCCTTGAATTATGAATAGAACTGTACGTACATTGAATTTTTTTAATGAAAATTCTAAGCCAATTTTGGTAAAAATATATTATCATCGGTGCAACTTAGTGTCAGTCCGTTTGAAACAGATGCATCTTCTAACGAAGTTAAATAGAACAGCATTCACATGTTATCATGTCTCTAGTTATCTATTTGAAATAGTTAGCATTAAACAATTAACGGCATTTACACGTTATATTATGGTTTTCAGGTGTCGGAGTGGGGGCAGATGAGCATGTGTGATGCTGAAAGAAGGCTCCTTGCAAATGCCCTGCTAGATATTTCAAATGAATGGTTTATTCTGCTGTCTGAGAGTTGCATACCGCTTCACAAATTCAGTGTCCTCTACAAATACTTATCAAAATCGAAATATAGTTTTATTGGGTCAGTTGATGATCCCGGCCCATATGGCAGGGGACGATATGATCCCCGAATGTTACCGGAGGTCAGCATTGAACAGTGGCGTAAAGGATCACAGTGGTTTGAAGTTAACAGAAAGCTAGCAATCATTATTGTTAAGGACATAACTTATTATCCCAAGTTTGAGAAGTTTTGCAAGCCCCATTGTTATGTGGATGAGCACTACTTCCCTACAATGCTTACAATTGAATCCTCTCATCTTTTGGCAAACAGAAGTTTAACATGGGTGGACTGGTCAAGAGGTGGGGCTCATCCTGCTACATTTGGGAGATATGACATCACCGAGTCATTTTTGAAGAGAATTCTCAACGGATATACATGTTTATACAATAACTACAACTCAACGATTTGTTTTCTTTTCGGCAGGAAGTTTTCTCCAAGTGCTTTAGAACCCTTATTACATCTAGCGCCTCATTTGCTGGGATTTGGGTGATAAAATTTTGCACAACTTCAGAAGTAGAAAGAGTAGCGACCTTTGAGATTTCATGTTCTCTATCGACTTTGTATCCATCCAAGAGATCTACTCAAGGATTTTCAATATTTTTTTTGAGAATTTTCATCTCACCTTTTTTTTTTCTCCTTGTACAAACAAACTGCTGCAGTGTTAAACATCATACTAATGAAATAGCGGATTGATCGAATAAATAATGTTTTTTTTTTATTGTATTTTTTTTAAAAAAAGGAGAAAAAGTATGTGTCTATGCATTCATTTGTTTATCACCTTCCCATAGTGGTAAAGCTTTTACATTGTGATAAGATCCTACAATTGCTGATAAGCCATTACAGCAGCCAAACAAAAGGCAGTAATGGTAATTATAATCGCTGATTACAAATTTATAATTAGTATAGATTTTGAAATTCTATCTAATACAAACAGAGCTTAAACGTGATGCGATGTAGATGGTTTAAGCTAACCCCAAAAATATATATGATGCGATGCAAATCAGAAGCATGCGGAATATATTATAAAGCGTAAGGCTGAGACAATGGTCCCAACAATCATGGCAAGGCATGAAACATTCAGAAATTCCTGTAGAATAACTGTTTTGGATACAAACGAAAATTAACTTGGTAATTTGACCTTCTAATTAATAAAGAGCTTGATATATAAAGTTTTTGATCTATCACTAATTTAGTTTGAATCCATGTCTATCATTCAGTGCTTCACAAGTAAAGTCGTAATGGAGGGAAGCTCTATTTAGCGCATCCTTGTAGATCCCTCCACCTGAGGTAAACAAGCCCTGCTTTATAGTGAGTTAAAGCACCCGCAACAACCAAGACATGGAAGAGCTGGTGACTATGGCCGGCAATGTCAAATTTGCCTGGCATCCATCGTTCAGGTATTCTAGTAGCATAGAGCAGTGCCCCTAGTCCATAGAGAATTCCCATCAAAACTTCGTACTGTGTAGTATACACTGCCTCAGGATGGTGCCTGAATGCAATCAATTTATGCAGCACTGGCACAACTCCAGACATGCCCATGACAAAGAAGAGCCCTGCCCTTATTGATCGGTATTCAGGATTTTGAAAGACTGGAAGCAGGGAAACAACCATTGTCGCGCACCCGAGAAGGGTGATGAGGCCAAGGTATAGGTTGCAGAAAAAGGGATCACACATGAAGGAGTAGTACACAGGAGGATAGAAGGATGTGCAAATAAGAGCTGCAATACCAGCATAATCCAGACGGAGCATAATGTACGCAACACGTCGGGAGTGACAAAAAAGAAGATGGCACACACTGCTTGCAAGAAGACAGAACATTGCCCCACCTAGGAATGCAAAGAATGGCCACCGGGCAATTTGGTGTACAAATAGTGGTGCAATCAGGTTGTTCACCATCTGATTTAACATGCTACGCTGCAAAATTAACCGATTTAAGTCATAGCAACAAGGCCTATATTAGTAACAATAAGTATGCAAATAAGGGAATATGAAGCAAATGATTGAAATCAATCATATCTGTAATACTGCAGTAATTGAAGTAGTTGAGAAAATTGGCATGACCACAATTTTAATAACACTTTCTTTATCAAACTTGTATCAGGAATCTCATCAATCCAAAGATCATGCCCCAAGCATCTCCTTTCATGTAAATAGCAGAACAAACACAATGATCTTTAAATGAAATTGACTATCACCCAAGCACCGGTAAGATCATAGTAGAATTTTGTGTGCCCCGGCAATGAAAGCAATTTAATATTAATCATAATAAAAATCCAGCCCACAATCGATTATAGTTCAAAATGCTGTATCTTGAAAAAATAAGGGAGAACTTGCCTAGAGGCAAATACCTGGGTTTGGTTATCATGGGATAATCGCGGAGGAAAGCAGTTTGAAATAAGTTCCAAGAGATGCCAGCGGGGTAGAGAAGAAAGTGAATCCATCTTAGGCAATGTGGACCTCAACTCATCTTTTAGCTTCTGCAAATGAGACAACTGAGGTAGGGCTGGCAGGCAAGCAACTAGATCTGACGGAAGCTTGTGCAGATCAGCTCTTTTCAGCACCTCGGGTAATTGTTGCAGTGAATTTATATCTACCACCTTCGGAACCTTCATTGCTGTATATATGGTGAGGACAAGGAAGAGAAAGAATCCAATCAAGTGCCTGAGATACAATTGTTAGTAGATATGAAGTTGAAACCCTTGTAGTTTTAAGAGATTCTTACCGAGAAGAAAATTAAAAATTAATAGAAAAACTTAGAACAGAATCATAAAGGTAATATGAAAATTAAGCTACAGCAAACTCCTGTAAAAATGCAAAAAGAATATTTGTTTCATTTCAATATTTATGCCATATTTATACTATCGTAAGAGGGCTTCTAATAAGAAATATATAAAAACAGTGCAAAGTAACTAAAGAATAATTATAATAATTAATGAATCGATTAGGTGGCAAAATAATAATTATAAACCAATTATAATAGTCCATGCATTGATGAGAAGACACTAATAATCCAACAGATTAATAATGTGGCATAAAAGAAATAAGGTACAAAGGGCTGCTGGGCAGCCTGGGCTCAATAGAATGTTGGAGGCAGAATTAAAGATTGATAAACTTAATTTTTCCGCTCACCCCCGAGTGAATGAATATACATTGTTCATTCTAAAATTACATGTTAATTTTTGAAATATTGTTTATGATAATAGTTTGGTGATAATGTTTGCAAGATTGTCCATTTGTAGCAAAAAACGGATTACTATCTAGATTCTCTTTTGTGAAACCCTATCAACTTCAATGTGTTTTATTATGTCATGTTGCACGAGATTATGTATAAGTTTGATTGCTAACTTGTTATCATAATAGTTTTATAAGACCTTTTTATTGCATCTTTAAATTGTTCAGATAACCTTTAGCCACTAAGGCCCTATTTGGCACAGCTTTTTCAGAACGGTGGCGTTTTCAGAACGCCGCCTACGCGTTTGTTTCGCGCGTTCGTTCGGCGGCGTTCTGAACGCAGCGTCCCGCGGTTCCGTTTTTCTTCATTATCCGGATCGCGGGGCGAGGGCTGCGTTCGGCGTTGGCTGTTGGCGTTAGGGCTCGAATTCCTTCTTTTGCCCTTGGTGATCTCTCTCGCGCTCTCCCCTCGCTTCCTCCCTCTCCGAACGAAAGCATCATTAGGGCTCGATTTCTCGTTCTTTTTCCCTCTCCGGTAAGATCTACTATTGTTTGTCGTTGGATTTTTTAGGATAGGCTTTGGATCTGTCGAGATATGCTCTGGATTCGTGAGTTTTATGGATCGATGAATTTTTTTTGGTTCTTCTCCATGTATCTGCTTCTATTGCTTCGGATCTCTGAGTTTTGCAAAATTTCATGGTTCTATCGAGTGATTGTTTGGTAGTTAACACAATCTTTTTAACCTTCTCTTGATTTGGCATCTGTCTCAAAGAACTTCCATTTTTTCTTGCTTAAAAGTGAGGACTAGCCCAGAGAATTGCAAGTTCATTCGTTAGTTTATATTGGGAACCATCTTAAAAGTGATTTTGTTCGTTCGATTACTGATCACTCTAATTGTCCTATTGTTGAGCTTCCCCTCAAATATCAAGCTGTTGATATTTTAAGGGGAAGAAGGAAGAAAACAAAAATGGATGAAGGCTCTTGTGCAGTAATGCGCTGTCTGTTTTGGGTTTTTAAAAAGAACGTAGGCAAATGTTAATTGTCCTATTGTCCTGCTGTTGATCACTCTATTTGTCCTATTGTTGAGCTTCCCTTCATCTTGGTGTGTTATTCTGTCTCTAGTGTTAAAAAGAACGCAGGCACTAGTTTCAACATTGAAGATTATGGCTGTTCATTCTCTAATGTTCATTCTGTCTCACAGAACTCCCATTTACTAATGTTTATTTTCTTAAAAAAAAGTTGTTTACGATTTCGTTGCATCTCTATTGAATGCTACAATATGGATTTGGAAAAGGAGTATCTTTATTACATGCTACAATTCGGCCATTCTCTTCTTCATCTCTACCCGATTTCTGTTGGTTCAAATCAGATTATATATTTGGGCTTTCTCGTTTGTAATGCACTACTGCGACTGGCCGCCGATGTGATGCAATAATAGCAGTTTTCATGTTCATGGAACACCTCATTTCCATCCTACACAATGAAAGTAATATATCCTAAAAGTTATTTAATTTAGATTGGAGCATTCAGAGCCCCGATTCTATGGTAGATAATAGAATTCATATTGAAAGAAAAGTTAGATTCAAATTCAAATTTACCTCTTGTCATCTTGTATTCTTCTCTCAACTATTGCTTCTCTTTTTTTCCCCAAGTAGTTAAAAAGTGCTAATTTGAAAGAAAAGTTAGATTCAAATTCAAATTTACCTCTTGTCATCTTGTATTCTTCTCTCAACTATTGCTTCTCTTTTTTTTCCCCAAGTAGTTAAAAAGTGCTAATTTGAAAGAAAAGTTAGATTCAAATTTTTATTTGAATCAAATCCGTAATAACAATGTTAGTAACGAAATTCTGAACTTCAAGGTTTGTCATTGCCGGGTGTATAAAATGATGCATTGTTCTTGTGGAGGTTTTGGGGATTATGTTTCTGTTGGTTCAAAAATGCCATGTTTTCATTTTATTTTGAAGTTTGCTGGCTTTCCTTAAAATTTCTTTCAAATAGATACAATATGGAATTATCTGCCTAGAATGCCTCATTGAGGAGGAATAAACATTTCTGTCACTGTGTTTTTCAAATGGATGCAATACGTTACAATATAGTATTTCTTTCAAACAGATAGTATTTGCTGGCTTTCCTTCAATGCGGTAAATATTGCATGTTCTAGGGAGCTATGTTTGATCACATGTTTTTATGGTGCCAATTGGCTGTTCTTTCACGTAAAAGCGTTGGCTGATGGTGGTAAAGATTTTTCTTGCCAATTGTGTTGTAATTTGCCTTAAGATTATGCATGACAATAGAGTTGAGTCTGCTAAAAGTCTTCTCAAGATTTTTCTTGCTTGAATCAATAACCAAATAAGGCATTGTTGATTGAGACTTGTCTTGCATCAACTATCAGATGATTTATAACAACATATAGTGTGGCATGTGTAGATTATACGCATGATGATGATTGATATGTTGGGTGTGAGCAGGTTTTGTAAATTAAAAATGGGCCCAAAAGGTCTTGTAAATTGGTCCAGTTTAGCTCCTTGCAACTCGGTTTGACTCCTACTGGCTTAAAAATTTGTTTTTTCTTGGCTGAAATAGTTGAATTGTGCTGCATCTCTTATGGTTGAGAAATGGTAATACAGAAGGCTTACTTCATTTTGAAGTTCTACTGCTCATGCATAATCTTAAGGATTACATTAGATGTGGGAATCTTTTTAATGCTATTATTTTAGATATTTTCGGCTGTATTTGCGGCCTTCTCATGTTACAATTTGTAGGATTTTGGCTTCTAGCCGCCGATGTGATGCAATTAACACATGGGTTTTGGTGTTGAGCCAAAGAAATGAAAATTGTGTTGTAATTTGCCTGCGGTGTAATTTGAGACAGGCCAGCTCATTGACAATTTTTTTTGGGATTGTGAATTATCCTAGCTTTCTTGGAATTTAAATTGAGGTACATGGATTAGAATTTTCATATTACACATGTACTTAATATTTGTAGTCCTCTCCAGTGAGAAATACAGCTTTGTACGATTAAAAATTTGATAATAAATCATATTCGATGTCTTACTGTGGATGTAGGTCTTTGACCGAACCACATAAAAACATGTGTGTTTTTTTTATTCTTAGCACTTTTTTTATCATTTATTTGCACAATTGTTGGGTAATTTAGATAATTTGATTATTATGTGATACTTGCAATTATTCGTATAGTTCCACAATGGGTAAGACATCTGAAGAGGGTCCCTCTGCAATGTGGGATAAAGAAGTCACCAATATATTTTGTGATCTATGTTTAAAAGAAATTGAGCGGGGGAACAGGCCTACAACGTACTTTAATAAGGAGGACTGGAGTAATGTTGGTATGAGGTTCAAAGAACTAACTGGCAGAGACTACGACAAGCTTAAATTCAAAAATAAATGGGACCAATTAAAGAAGGAATGGAAATTATGGAAGGAGTTGAAACGTGGATCTACAGGTTTGGGTTGGGATCCGATTAAACGGACAATTGATGCTCCCACTGAATGGTGGACTGAAAAATTGGAGGTAATTATATATGTACTCCGTGATTTGTTTGCTTTTCAAATTGGTTTTTATAATTTTACTAGCTAAACTATTCACTTTAAAATGTTATATCACAGGCGGTACCTGCAGCGAAAAAGTTTAAACAATGCGGGATTGAGCCAGAATTTGAAGAAAAACTCGACACAATGTTTAAATGTATTGTCGCTACTGGAAAATTAACTTTCAACCCAAGTGAAAGTACCTTTTCAGGGATGCCAGATGAATTTACCCCTGAACCATTGACACCTGATGAAGATGTGCGTAGCATTAATCAGAGGGAGACGGGGGAGTCTAGCACAATAAAGAGGCCGAAGGTTGCTAAGAAAAATAAAGAGAAAGAACATGTTATGAATACCTCCTTCGATCGTTTGATTGAAGCATTTGCAGCTCCACCTATCTCTGATGCAAGCATAGTAGACTGTTTGAGGCTTTTGGGGACTATTCCTGAAGTTGTTGCAGATAGAAGATTTCACGCACAGTGTGTAAAAAAACTTGAGGATTCAACTAGAATGAAAATATTCATGGCGCTTGAGCCTGAAATGCGGCTTGAATATTTGCGGGTTTTGTTTGAGGAATGATATTATTTATGGATTCATTATGTATCAGTACTGATTGAACTTCTACTTGTGTTGTTCTTTTTTTTAATATATGTTTGTTATTCTATATGTGTCATTGTACATGTCTAATCTTTCTATATGTAGCAAATGAGAATTTTTATTATTGAATATTAATGTTGATGTTGTTAATCATTTAGGATGGACCCGCAACGTCAACGTCGTAGGAGAATGGCATTTGCTACAGCCGTTGCGATTGTCTCGGGAGGTGTTGGCTATAACACTGTACATTCTGGCACAGAATGAGTCAATTCGAGGAGCTATGGAAAGATTTCAACATTCATCTGAAACAATTAGTCGCTATTTTTCAAAAGGAATACAGGCACTT